GCATCGTTAACAACGACTGCTTTGGTGTCGTCAACACAGGGTTTGGCCTCAACTGCGATGGCGAGATGTCTGGTTCAGCGACGAATCAAGAGTTCTTCTCCGTCGATGGGGTCTGCAGTCGTCGGGGAGAACGTTACACCGGAAACTGCGTACAGGAAGTGGACAGGTTTGGTGGGGGTTGCGTTATGATGTGGGCGGCTGTCCCTCATCATTGCAGGACATGTTCGGTCCATATCCAGGGCAGTCTTACGGCTCAGCGATGCATCAACGAAATTCTCCTACCACACGTCCTCCCAATTGCAGCCAACGACAGGACAACGTTCGACCGCATACAGTACGGATCACAAGAGCCTGTCTATACAACAACAACGTTGATGTTCTCCCCTGGCCCTCGAGATCCCCGGATTTGAACCCGATGAATTGGATAGACGGCAAGGTCAACCACATCCCCAGACGTTGTAGCAGTTGGCTCTTGCGTTGCAGGCCGAGTGGGATACAATTCCCTAGGATGTGATTCGCATACTCGTCTCTTCCATGGGAAGGGGATGTCAGGCCGCTCTCCATTCCAACGGGAGACATACCCGTTATTGATGGTAACTGACCTTCACCTTGGACTTTTCCTATGTACCGATAACTGAGATGACTACAATCGCCAAGTGTTCTCTCCACAACATTCTGTCTCAATGCCTTGTACGGTTCCTCGTATAAATGTATTATCGACCTCACACAATTCTGGCTTTGCGTTACTGTTTTTGAAGACTATATTTTTCATCCAAAACTGGCTCCCACAGGAGATATCGCTTGGGTGAGATCAAGCGTTATTACCCACGTGATGAAGATCCAGGTGGTACGATACTAAATCCGTACATCACGGGGTGTCGTACAGGGTTGACCTTGTTTTATTCGTTTTGATTGAATAAACGGAACTACGTGTTTCATTCATAAAAAATCGCGAGACGTCATTCATTTTGCAATATTACAAGGCAGAACTGAAGCAATCTCACGAGAGCGAGAGATATTTACAAACACTTAATTAAACCAAACGAGATAGTCACACGCATCAAATTCGGTTTGCATTCTATATAAGTTATGCACATAGCTTCTGTAGACATTATATAATCGAGCTGTATCCATTTACAATGTACGACTAGACCTACCGATCAATAGATCGAGGGTCCCCATGAGCGTGACGCACCCGACCACTTTCGTACCTTTCAATTTGTTATAACGTAAAATTATATGCGTGGTGAAATGAAGTCAGTTTAAACTATCTGGTCAGATATCTAGACTTACTTGGGATGATCCGGTTGAGCCATCAGTGTCTCCTTCAAACGTATTTTGTGGCACTATTTCGGGAGTTGTTTGTTCAAGACTGCACGACCTGATCACTCAAAGTGAACATTTCCGATACAAATCATTCGATGACTCCGTAGAAGTGTGCTGATTTTTTATTATGTGGCCCAAAATATCCCAAATGTGAACAATAACATTCCCTATCTCTAGCGTAAAACGCTGTGAGAAGATCATGGTTGTCTTTTCTTATTGCGGTGGTGACCTTGCCCTTCGTTCGAAGCTTTCACTGAATGCAAGTAGACTTAGCGTGTTGATTTTCACGTCTTGGGTAAAGGGTGGTACAATAAACATGAATGTCTTTGGCGAACACTAATGTGACTTTTAAAATTGTCTGATAGGTGTCCTGCGTACTAACAACATGGCGCTTGAATTACCATAAGTTGAAGAAATTCTTCCAAAAGCATCTTGAGCTTCGGTGCTGTTATGTTTGCAAACACAACATTACTGCAGGCGCAAGTTGTTAATGCGTATGCATAGAAATGTCAACAATGTCCATATTTGGGCATATATCAATATTCATGCCAAACCAGATTTTGCAACTGGTTTCAGTTTGGTCTGTCAACGAACGCAAGTTGTTATGTATTTACACTTAAATATATATATAAAATACCACTCATTCTCGCTAGATACCATTTTTACGGAACTCGTGAACTTTCTATGGTATCTAACGAGAATGAGTGTAGTATTCTCTACATATCTACCTTGTAGATATCGCTACAATGAAATTGCATCAATGCTTTGCAGACCATTGTGACGTCATTGGTTACCATGACGTCCCAATCAAATGACATCACTAATGGCTCTGCTACTGAATCTGTTAGCAGTACTTTTTACACTTAAGACACTGCTTATTACTGTCTACAAACTGAAAAAGTTGGAAGAATGATGTTGGATTATCAATAAAATATCCCCGAGTGTCTTTTGATATCAAATATATCAACACTCATTGAATAAAGTTAAAACCACCTCGTCTTTTCCACTTTTATCAACTCATGTTGATATATTTGATATCAAAGGAAACTCGGGGGAGATTCTCTATTTATTACTTGCCCGTGAATAGATCACCCGTTTAATAAACATACAGCTGTATTACACAGTGTGTAATATTGAAAAGCGTGCTTATGTACTCTCGGAACAAGTTTCACGAACACATATTGAAAGCTCTAAACATCCCGTGGCGTATTCAGCGACATCGCGTGTAGAGATGATAGATCACTGAGAGGAGCTTATGCATATTCGATGACCCCAGCAACTTTGTTGCTAGGCTGACGTCACATGGCATTGTTTCGCTTTTATCAACTCGTGTTGATATATTTGATATCAAAAGACACTCGGGAAGATTCTCTATATCTTTGTACTCAGTTTGGAGGGGTATTTGTTAATTTGTTTTGAAAAACGTAGTGTTTTGAACCCTGAACTAGTCAAGACTATTGGTATTATAATGTTGAATTTAGTAATGTGTTCTACTTCTGATCCCTTTTCCGAATGTTCTAAGATAGCGACTTTTGTACCCTGGGTAGTAGCACTTTTGCCGTCATGGTAGAAAGGAGATAAACCTACTGTTTTGAAATTTGATGTAATCCAACTGTGGAGTAGGTAGCTGAAGCGCTCGGTTCCAAATTAGAATAAGAAGTATCTACTCTACAGTGGGACTACTTCAAATTTCAGAACACAGTAGGTTTATCTCCTATCTGACTATAATACAGTAAACTACGGTTATAACGAACACGCTTATAACGAACTGATATAACGAACTTACTATTTGGCCCTGACTACTTGCTGTAGTCATGCTGTATATGTACTTATAACAAACTACGGTTATAACGAACTAAAATTAGTAGTCCCTTTGAGTTCGTTATAACCGTAGTTTACTTTATGTCTTCACAACAGATAATCCTTTATTGATAGAGATAGTATTACATTCGTAATATTTTTCTTATCATATTTATTTCTTATATCACGAAGCTCGTGTCAGTTTTAATGTATTTCCCTCTGTCTCGCTGGGGAAATATAACAGTTATAACTCTCGTATAGTAAAAACACTAACGCCTCGGGCTCACATAATTAAATATGTTTATGACACTCTTCCCAGAATTCATATAATGTCCTCGCTATTGTTCGAGAAATAGAAACATACTGGATTCAGTACACATACTCATGTAATACCTTGTACGGCAAGAATGTACATGTAATATAATGTATAATACAGGACTCATCCCGTGAAGATCCGGGGTAGAATAGGTCTTCAGCAACCCATGCTTGCCGCAAAGGGCGACTTTGATTGACGTAAGAGGCGACTAACGGGATCGGGTGGTCAGGCTCGGTGACTTGGTTGATGCATGTCATCGTTTCCCAATTGCGTGGATCGATGCTTATGATGTCAATCACTGGATTGTCTGGGCCAGACTCGATTATTTACTGACCGCCGTCATATAGCTGGAATACCGCGGAGTGTGGCGTTAAACAACAAACAAATAAAAATAAATTCTAACATGACTCGTTTGTATGCTGAGATTTTACAGGTCAAGTGTTTTCTTAATTAGCTTGTGGACAGGTCAAGGTTCAGGGTCAAGACCCTGTGGACGGTGTCGGAGATATTCCATGTATGGAACACGCCAAATCTACGCACATAAATTGGTTTGTGGCGAGATAAAGGGTGTCTACTTTATGACTTGTTAATAGTTAATTGCTTCCGACATCTCAAGAGGCTTCAGGTCATAATGGACAGTAGGCAGTACCGATCACAACGTGCACTGTGATTAAGTCGAGCAGAGATTCCCATAACATGAATACATGAGAATTGTAAAAACATATTTAGGCGGAAAAACCGATATCCTACAAATTAGAGTGAGTGAGTTGGATTTGAACAGTCTTCCAGTTTTATCACGGCGTGTCAATTTAGTATGGTGGAAAGCTCGAAGTGAAACCCACGAGCACGGTGCTGACAAACCTAGAAACATAATTGGGGCGAACCGGGATTCGAACCCATACGAGAGCAAGATCTCCTGCCCATAAACAATTCAAAAGTTACATAATATAACTACGTATATTACAACAACCATCAAAATATTAACCACTTTTTAAAATTAACGGAAAGACATTGGGTAGCCTCGTGTGAAATGCTTAAAAATTGCATGTCGAGGTTCGGTAGCGTACCGGTAAAATATGTGAAGTCGTCAGAGTATATATATATATTTATTATTTATTATGAAACAAATATTTGATTTACACGAAAATAATTTATGAACGAATGCACGTAATCATGCTGTTTACATGAACATCGACGTCAACAACTCCTTGAATATATTGCGCGAATAGGATGTAAACTGATACCATTGAGGTCGTGTTGTCATCACATGCCACAGCGAGGCTGGGTCAAAGAGGTCAGATGCCGTCCTCGCTCGTGGAGCATTTGGTGACGTCACAATAGAGGGAGGTAAGGAGTTAATACAGCGGTTCTCATAACGTTTTCATTACATTTCCTGAGTTTAAGTAGATCCTTAACCTGCTGTATGTAAATATCACTTGCTCAGGAACGATTCTGTTGTGAGTCATCACAATTGACCTATGTCCGTTGTTTGTGACCGATATGTATCCTACCCCCTATCCGTAATGGGCACGGCCCACGCTATAAACAAACTGGGAAACTTCAAGTGGTTAACTGTTCAGAACACTCCCGTGGCATGTAGAGGTAAACATTAAGCTGTGGGTAAGTTGACAGCAGTTTGATTATTATCATTGATAACTTATGAATAAGATAAGTAACGTGAAGATGTAAGTACTGTTAATGTACGAAATAATAACTGTTGATGAACTGTACGTGTATGTAATCATTCTGAAACGGACCCGTGAAGATCCGGGGTAGAATACATCTTCAGCAACCCATGCTTGCCGTAAAAGGCGACTATGCTTGTCGTAAGAGGCGACTAACGGGATCGGGTGGTCAGGCTTGCTGACTTGGTTGATGCATGTCATCATATCCCAATTGCGTGGATCGATGCTCATGATATCAATCACTGGATTGTCCGGTCCAGACTCGATTATTTACAGACCGCCGTCATATAGCCGGAATATTGCTGAGTGCGGCGTTAAACAACAAACAAACAATCATTCTGCAACGGCTTAAGAAAGGTGGCATTCGCTTATGCCATGTATGTATACCTTTTCCCCTCCGTTAACTGAGTGTTGTTGTTTTTTTCAGTTAAGGCCGAGTCATTGTTATTATGTGTAATACCGTAAACATGTATTTAGGGTAAGCAAGGTCTGTAATTATTATACATAATTAATTTTGAGTTATGAGCCAAGTGGTGTACCGTATTTGACAAAAATAAATCCAACTTGAAAACTTTTAACAGCTTAATCATTTTGTTTTTATGTTTGTATACATATATCAGTATGTAATAATCAGTGAGCAAATACTGTACTTATCTGAAAATATTGAATTTACATCTTATAAATCAAGTGAAATAACGTTTTAGAATAATTTAAAATAACCTCATCAGAGTTTTTCCACATTTATCAACTCGTGTTGATATATATTTGACATCAAAAGACACGAGGGTGAGATTTTATTTATCACCCAACATCATTCTTCCAACATTTTCAGTTTGTAGACAGGAATAAGCAGTGTCTTAAGTGTAAAAAGTACTGCCTCAGCAGGAGCCATGGGGTGATGTCATTTGATTGTGACGTCATGGTAACCAATGGCGACACAATGGTCTGCAAAGCAGTGTGATACAATTCATTGCAGCGGTATCTACAAGGTAGATTTCGCTTGATCTACCCCATTCGATATCTCCTGTTGTGTGGGAGTCAGTTTTGGAATATAAATAACATTTTATGCCGGAACTTCTTTCAGTCGGTCTCAGTGACGCTGTAGTTTTCAAAGACAATACATAGTAAATAGAACATTTGTCTTTTCTCGTCGAAAACCTATTTATTTCATCTCAAAGGCTGCTGAAAGTTGACATTTTCACTCGTTGCTGATCAATTTGTCCGGTCAATCGATGAGATAAAAGTGTTATTGGGCAAGAAAATACAAATATCCTCTACTTAACACTGAAATGATTTTTTTTGAAAAAACAACATTACTTACAGGCACCGTGATATAGTTAGAACAATGTTGTTTGGCGTTAAACGACTCTCACGATCAAGTCACAAGTACCAGTATGAAAAAAGTTTAATGTCAATCTATACTACTCAAAAGAAGTTAAGGATCACCCAATTCTTTCATATTGGTAATGTTAATCTGTCATGGCATGAGAGCTTAACTATTGTAATATGGAAGAATCAGGTGATCCTTAACTTCTTTTGAGTAGTATATTATTGTGTCGTGCGAATCCTTTGTACTAACTTCAAACAATTGCTTTGTTTCAGGAATGCTGACTAAAGTTTTAGCCGTTCTTGTGTGTGCCTCAATTACCATGGCGTCATCAGGCACCATACGCGCCTGCCAGTACCCCGGATGTGAATGTAAAACTCACTCAGACTCAACTTACACACTGACGTGCGAGGAAGGCACAGTCTGGACCTTGAGCGGCTACCCACACGTGGCCAACACCACCACTAGTGTTCGACTGCAGTGTGGCGGAGAGCGCGTTGACATGGAACTATTTTTTAATCATAATATTGACCTGAAGTACGTGCAGGAGATGAGCATACAGGATTGTGTGACGTCCGGGCTGTTCGTGGAGGACATTGGTCTCTCGCTGCTCACCAAGCTGGACTTAAACAATGTCACGATGTTGAACAATACACTGAGTGACCTCGTGACTTGGTGCCCCCACCTCGACACCCTGCGCGTGACCCACGCAGATCCCACCATCTTATCACATGAGTGTACATTACCTTTGGAAGCTCGACTACCTGGTTTATTGAACGATAATATCAACAAAACCGATGCCAATTGCAGTGTAATTACAACAGCGATAAATCATTTAAAAATACTCGATTTAAGACATAATGATTTAACAAATGTTCCGTTTATGGTGGGCATGTCGCCGAATGTATCTGTGTTATTTTTACAGTTCAACAAACTAGCAAGCCTTCCTTCTGACATATTTAATACTACATCAAACTTGACCATTCTTGATCTTTCGAGGAACCATTTGACGTCACTTCCGGTTCATGTGTTCTCAGAGCAAGTAATCATGAGGCATTTGAACCTGTCACATAATCGTCTATCCAGCCTCCCTTCTAGATTGTTGGCGAACACGCGGAGTCTGACAAATCTGGACCTCTCCTTCAACCGTCTCAAGTACATCCCTTCCTCCATGTTCCGCAACCTGCATCATCTGACAGTCCTAAACCTAACCGCCAACTCAATCTCCTTCCTGTTGCGCAGCCACTTCGCCAGTCTCACAAGTCTCGCGCAGCTGTATCTAGGTAACAACAACTTAAGGAGGATTCCTTACATCACTTCCTGTCACGAACTGGTGGTGGTAGACTTCCGGTATAACCAGATAATCAGCACCTATAGCACCTCCTTTAAGGGACTGAGTAAGCTAGAAGGCATCGGTATGAAACATAACAATCTCAAATCACTGATATTCCGTCATTTGTGTGTCTCTCCAAGACTCTCTATCCTCGACTTTTCCTTCAATAGCATCACCAGTCTGAACGTCAACCCAGCCCTCGATTCCAAAGAGCGGAATGAGAGTTCGTTCTCGATGCTTAGCAAGGTTGCATTTCTCCGCCTTGATCATAATAAATTGTCACACATCCATGGACTAGGGTCGGTGTTCACAGGCCTTAAATTTCTCTTTGTCGACAACAATATGATCATCAGCCTCCGCTTGTCACAGAAGGATCTTCCAGCATCTATTGAATGGTTCAGCGCCAGTTTCAATAAGATTGAATTGATAGAACACACTCTGTTCATGTCTTTACCTAACCTCAAAGCCATCAGCTTACAATCTAACTACCCTCATCTCACCTCTCTCCCTCTCCGTCTAGTACAAGTCGTGCCCAACAGCAGCCCCAAATTGTACCTATCGGGCAATCTTTTCATGTGTGACTGTAACATGGCCTATCTGAAAACGTACTATGAGGGCAGAAACAGACTTGCCTTTACGAAGAATTATCCAGTATTTGCGGATCTTGAAGACGTGAAATGTATCACCGAGAAGAACCTGACTGTAAGGAATCTTATTGACATCCCAGAGGACGAGTTTATGTGTTGGAGTAGAGGTATTGTTTGTGAGAGGTACTGCACGTGCTGCTTAGGAGAAGAAAGCAAGAGTTGCCCGTGTCTTCACGTGTGTCCCAGCGGCTGCCAGTGCTATGAGGGCGGGTCCCCCTGGGGCTGGTATGAATACAAAGTCTTCTGTGACAACGCCTCGATCACCATTGCCCCACACAACATACCTCCAGTGACCACGTATCTGCATCTTGAAAACAACAATATCATTGTGCTGGAGAAAAAAGACTTTTTCTATCTAATGCAACTGAAGAAACTATATTTGAACAACAACAGCATTGCGACTCTTAGGCCGGGTTGTTTCCGCGGTCTTGGTGACCTTAAGTATTTACACTTGCAGTTCAACCAGCTTCGGAGTCTGTCGGCCGAGATGCTGACGGGGCTAGGGAACCTCACCCATCTTTACCTTCGGAATAACCTCCTTCACACCTTAAGGTTGCACGTGTTCAGTAACCTCACGCACCTGGAGTACATTGACCTCCGTAACAATTTCCTCACTCGTCTGAGTACTGACTACTTTCCGACACAAACAACCCTGACCGCAATTAAAATTAACCACAATCCTCTCTCGTGTACCTGTTCTGATATAGAACAAACTCTCTCCTTTCTGGCGCTGTATGGCTACTGTGCATCAACAATGGACGATCTGTGGTGTTTCCATGAGAACAGATCAGATCACAGTGTCTTGGTCAATTCTGATTCAACATTAACGTTGAATTATTCTCATGACAATTCCATGGTGTTGATAAAGGACTTTGACATTGATAAGTGTTATGAGATTGTGACTCATTTTAACGAAACACGGTACGACAAACAGCGAATTGAAGAGGACGGCCGATATATTATCACCTTAATAATTCTATGTGTACTACTGATGATAGTTGTAGCGGTTGCTTGCGTGACTTACTGGAAACGTCAGGAGTTGCAGGCGTTGCTTTACGTCAAGTTCGGTGTTCGCTTTCGGTCAAAGAACGCCGACCTTGATGAAACGGGACGCACGTACGACGCCTTCGTGTCTTACAGCAGCCATGACGAGCGTTTGGTAGTCAAGGAGTTGGCTCCAATGTTGGAGGAAGGGAAGGGAGAAGAACGAGGACGACTTTACAGACTGTGTCTTCATTACCGGGACTTTCCAGTCGGAGATTGTATTGCAGACACTATCATAGAAAGCATTGAGGCCAGTAAACGCACTATCATGCTGCTCTCAGACAACTTCTTGGCAAGTGAGTGGTGCCGCTATGAGTTTCAGACCGCACACCACCATGTGCTTAAGGAACGCTCTCATCGGCTCATCATCGTGTTGTTGCATGACATTGACGACCGTAAGTTAGATCCAGACTTACGCGTGCATTTGAAGGCTGGCAACTTTTTGCGTTTCAATGACCCCTGGTTTTGGGAAAAGCTGTATTTCGCTCTGCCGGATGTACCGGTGGAAAAAGGCAACAAAGGGAGACAATTTAAGGAAGTTGATGCACCCGAAGATGGTGACGTAAATCTAAACTTTCAGTTTCCCGATGGTACTGTTTTATAGCAATACACAAAAGAATGACAAGATTGGATATTGATGCTCAGCACAAGTTTTTTAAATGCTTTTTTTCATTGTTTTATGTTATATATATAATAAATATTTGATTAAATTTTGTACATTTGAATAAATTGTTATGATAATCTGTGATACAATGTTATCTTTGCGACTTACTGAGCTAGTTCTTGGGGGATACGATTCTTTGCTTGATGTGTTGTCGAGTGTCTGTCTTGTAGGGATATCACACACTGCAGACACAAACGTTTAGAGACAGCGAATATCTGATCTTGTGTCTTCGACCACAGGTCGTTTAATTTGTATTAACATGTATTTGAAATGCTTGCCGTAAAACAGTGAACTAAATGGATGTAGTTTAATCTAACTGAAATTTCACACTGAACAATTTTCATGTTCATGATGTTTGCTATGTGAAGTAGAAATATATTTAAATATTCAACCTTCTCACGTTTCAATGACCACCACTATGACCTAATGATCTTAGTGGTACGACTCGTTTGAAACATATGGACACTTATATACAATATGTTTGTTGACATGAACGTAACGTAACTGACCCATGAAGATCCGGGGTAGAATATTTCTTCAGCAACCCATGCTTGCCGTAAAAGGCAACTGCTTGTCGTAAGAGGCGACTAACGGGATCGGGTGGTCAGGCTCGCTGACTTGGTTGATGCATGTCATCGTATCCCAATTGCGTAGATCGATGCTCATGATGCCAATCACTGGATTGTCTGGTCCAGACTCGATTATTTACAGACCGCCGTCATATGGGTGGAATATTGCTAAGTGTGGCGTTAAACAACATACAATCAATCAATGTATTTGAAAATAATCAAGCCGCCCTCTCTGTGGAGGTTCCACAACGGTGGTATTTCGGTGTTATTACTGTGTTGTCTGAAGCTGTTTTCTTATTATCATTACCGTATGTCTTGTATGATGTGTTAATCTGTTTCTGTATCCAGCCCCTAGTGGGTGTATATGTACAGTATAATATATCTTATCTTCATCTTCTAGAGCACCTGTCACTACCTGACCCAACAGTACCTCATTAAGAACACCAGACAATTCCTTGCTGAACCCTTTGCCCTCCCCTTCTCCCCCGACACATCTTCATCCGGCGTAGTCTGGCTTGAATTATGTTCAACTGCGACCAGTGAACAGGGACAGTGTGTGACATTTTTCTGTGCTTTTTTTTAACAGCCCCTCACATTTCACTAATAATTTTGACAGTTCTTCAAGGTAAGACAATGCAAAATTGCTCTTATGGGCAGCTTCAAAGAGTAACTGAAAGACGAGGCTGAGACTGTTGGTACATCACTCACACCAAGGACAGCAAGGGTTCTCTGTATGTCGTGAGTGTAGGAATAAGCTTAAAAAACATCTGTATTTTCTAGTGTCCAGTCGCAATAAAACCCCTTCGTGGGGTGTATGGAACCAAACACGCGCCATCCCCAAATCGATTTTCAACTCCTATTGTTAAGGCTTTTTTTTCTATTGACATGGGTTATATGTACTTTAAAAAAAATAAGATTAACAAAGGATTCAGAACACAAAGGTTTTTTGTTCAGCACATCTGTTCTTTGCACCTTGAATGTATAGATAGGATATGTTCAAAGACTCCTTCTTTACATAACGGGATCCCGTGATGATTCCGGGGTAGAATAGATCTTCAGCAACCCATGCTTGCCGTAAAAGGTGACTATGCTTGTCGTAAAAGGCGACTAACGGGATCGGGTGGTCAGGCTCGCTGACTTGGTTGATGCATGCCACCGATCCCAATTGCGTGGATCGCTACTCATGATATCAGTCACTGGATTGTCTGATCCAGACTCGTTAAATAACAAACACACAAACAAACAAACATCATTGGTGCCCTGTCGTCCAAGGCGCCGCAACTATCTCTTATAACCTATGACCGTGGGTTCAAAGTCCTCCATCGGTTGCTTTGAATAGCGTCAATGCCAGAGACTAACCAGTCTCGATTATCCGCCGAAACTGATTCCATTGGGCGTAAAATGTAAAATAGCGGTGAAATTTATGTGAACCCAAAAGGGTCAGTGAAAATCTAACCTACGTATACTTTGGCAATATGGCGCTGTCACCGTGTACACTGTGTACACACAACTAAAATTAAAATCGATGCGAAACTATGGAATCGTATTAGTGCCACAGTCTAAAATTCTTACATCTACGAAGATAATACTTACGTCTACGTAGAAGATACTTTAATCTACGCAGAAGATACTTACATCTACGTATGTGATATTATTATCGTACGTATCGTTTCCCAGACAGTGATATTGTCTTGTGCAGTTGCGAACCTAGTTGGATACAAACATTTATATTTTTAATAAAGGTGATTACTTATTTATAGTTAGATGTTTTGGAGCGTGTCAGTTGTATATTTTCATTTGTCCTTTTCTGTATTTAAACAACATACTGAGATCATTTCAAACTCTCAGGGCTAAAATAAAAAACACAAACTTCAGAATTGTACCTTCAGTGCTTTATAAGATGATGACGAGTATTGGTTTGATATAGGTTTACAGTTTGAATGATTCTCACCCCTTCATATTTACGTTTTACCTTAAACCTCATTTCCGTATAGGAGAAATCACGAGGATCAGCATATTTTTCCGGCTTAAACCAAGTTATGGTTGATATATAATTTCGCTAAAATTTTGAATATTGACCTATCGCTGTTTATTTGTTTGTAGTTTGTAGTTTGTAGAACTCGTTGTGCTCTCCTCTCTTTATTACGGTTGTAAGAGAGTGCGGCGTGTGTCATTCTCCAGTAACTTCGACAAATCAAAATGAAGATTTACTTTACGCAATGTTTAGATAATACTTCAATAAAGACACGTCAAGGTAGAAAGTCAAACAAAGCGGTCATTATCAATTAAGCCAGTGGTTATATATAACTGACCCGGAACTAGTGTCGATTACTCGAGAAAATATTGTTACCTGGACGAAAGTATTTTCTACGTAGATGTGAGCAGCATCCTCTTCGTAGATTAAAGTATCATCTACGTAAATATAAGTATCATCTACGTAGATGAAATATCACCTACGTAGATGAAGATGATATATATTTTGAAAGACTGTGGCACTAATACGCTTCCATACGCCTGAAGTATGGGTCACGAAGCTCGTGTCAGTTTTAATGTATTTCCCTCTGTCTCGCTGGGGAAATATAACAGTTATAACACTCGTATAGTAAAAACACTAACGCCTCGGGCACACATAATTAAATACGTTTATGACACTCTTCTCAGAATTCATATAATGTCCTCGCTATTGTTCGAGAAATAGAAACATACTGAATTCAGTACACATACTCATGTAATACCTTGTACGGCAAGAATGTACATGTAATGTTATGTATAATACAGGACTCATCCCGTGAAGATCCGGGGTAGAATAGGTCTTCAGCAACCCATGCTTGCCGCAAAAGGCGACTTTGCTTGACGTAAGAGGCGACTAACGGGATCGGGTGGTCAGGCTCGGTGACTTGGTTGATGCATGTCATCGTATCCCAATTGCGTGGATCGATGCTTATGATGTCAATCACTGGATTGTCTGGTCCAGACTCGATTATTTACTGACCGCCGTCATATAGCTGGAATACCGCGGAGTGTGGCGTTAAACAACAACCAAATAAAAATAAATTCTAACATGACTCGTTTGTATGCTGAGATTTTACAGGTCAAGTGTTTTCTCAATTAGCTTGTGGACAGGTCAAGGTTCAGGGTCAAGACCCCGTGGACAGTGTCGGAGATATTCCATGTATGGAACACGCCAAATCTACGCACATAAATTGGTTTGTGGCGAGATAAAGGATGTCTACTTTATGACTTGTTAATAGTTAATTGCTTCCGACATCTCAAGAGGCTTTACGTCATAATGGACAGTAGGCAGTACCGATCACAACGTGCATTGTGATTAAGTCGAGCAGAGATTCCCATAACATGAATACATGAGAATTGTAAAAACATAATTAGGCGGAAAAACCGATATCCTACGAATTAGAGTGAGTGAGTTGGGTTTGATGCCGCTTTGAACAGTATTCCAGTTTTATCACGGCGTGTCAATTTAGTATGGTGGAAAGCTCGAAGTGAAACCCACGAGCACGGTGCTGACAAACCTAGAAACATAATTGGGGCGAACCGGGATTCGAACCCATACGAGAGCAAGATCTCCTGCCCATAAACAATTCAAAAGTTACGTAATATAACTACGTATATTACAACAACCATAAAAATATTAACCACTTTTTAAAATTATCGGAAAGACATTGGGTAGCCTCGTGTGAAATGCGTAAAAATTGCATGTCGAGGTTCGGTAGCGTACCGGTGAAATATGTGAAGTCGTCAGAGTATATATATATTTATTATTTATTATGAAACAAATATTTGATTTACAGGAAAATAATTCATGAACGAATGCACGTAATCATGCTGTTTACATGAACATCGACGTCAACAACACCTTGAATATATTGCGCGAGTAGGATGTAAACTGATACCATTGAGGTCGTGTTGTCATCACATGCCACAGCGAGGCTGGGTCAAAGAGGTCAGATGCCGTCCTCGCTCGTGGAGCAGTTGGTGACGTCACAATAGAGGGAGGTAAGGAGTTATTACAGCGGTTCTCATAACGTTTTCATTACATTTCCTGAGTTTAAGTAGATCCTTTACCTGCTTGAGGTGTATGTAAATATCACTTGCTCAGGAACGATTCTTTTGTGAGTCATCACAATTGACCTATGTCCGTTGTTTGTGACCGATATGTATCCTACCCCCTATCCGTAATGGGCACGGCCCACGCTATAAACAAACTGAGAAACTTCAAGTGGATAACTGTTCATAACACTGTGCTGTATTAAGCTGTGGGTAAGTTGACAGCAGTTTGATTATTATCATTGATAACTTATGAATAAGATAAGTAACGTGAAGATGTAAGTACTGTTAATGTACTAAATAATAACTGTTGATGAACTGTACGTGTATGTATTCATTCTGAAACTGACCCGTGAAGATCCGGGGTAGAATAGATCTTCAGCAACCCATGCCGTAAAAGGCGACTATGCTTGTCGTAAAAGGCGACTAACGGGATTGGGTGGTCAGGCTTGCTGACTTGGTTGATGCATGTCATCATATCCCAATTGCGTGGATCGATGCTCATGATATCAATCACTGGATTGTCTGGTCTAGACTCGATTATTTACAGACCGCCGTCATATAGCCGGAATGTTGCTGAGTGCGGCGTTAAACAACAAACAAACAATCATTCTGCAACGGCTTAAGAAAAGGTGGCACATTGTACAGGACCCTCCGTTAGCGTGCTGAAAGGGACGCTGTTCAACTGTCTGTTGTTGTTTTTTTCCAGTTAAGGCCGAGTCATTGTAATTAAGTGTAATACCGTAAACTTGTATTGAGGGGAAGCAAGGTCTGTAATTATTATACATAATTAATTTTGAGTTATGAGCCAAGTGGTGTACCGTATTTGAAAAAAATAAATCCAACTTGACAACTTTTAACAGCTTAATCATTTTGTTTTTATGTTTGTATACATATATCAGTATGTAATAATCAGTGAGCAAATACTGTACTTATCTGAAAATATTGAATTGACATCTTATAAATCAAGTGAAATAACGTTTTAGAATAATTTAAAATAACCTCATCAGAGTTTTTCCACATTTATCAACTCGTGTTGATATATATTTGACATCAAAAGACACGAGGGTGAGATTTTATTTATCACCCAACATCATTCTTCCAACGTTTTCAGTTTGTAGACAGGAATAAGCAGTGTCTTAAGTGTAAAAAGTACTGCCTCAGCAGGAGCCATGGGGTGATGTCATTTGATTGTGACGTCATGGTAACCAATGGCGACACAGTGGTCTGCAAAGCAGTGTGATACAATTTCATTGCAGCGATGTCTACAAGGTAGATTTCGCTTGATCTACCCCATTCGATATCTCCTGTTGTGTGGGAGTCAGTTTTGGAATATAAATAACATTTTATAACTACTTTCAGCCTGCCTCAGTGGCGCTGTGGTTTTCAAAGACAATACATATAGTAAATAGAACATTTGTCTATTCTCGTCGAAAACCGATTTATGTCATCTCGAAGGCTGTAAGAGGTTGACATTTCCACTCGTTGCTGATCAATTTGTCCGGTCAATCGATGAGATAAAAGTGTTATTGGGCAAGAAAATACAAATATATTCTACTTAACACTGAAATGATTATTTAAAAAAAAAAAAAAATTACTTACAGGCACCGTGATATAGTTAGAACAATGTTGTTTGGCGTTGAACAACCCTCACGATCAAGTCACAAGTACCAGTTTGAAAAAGGTTTAATGTCAATCTATACTACTCAAAAGAAGTTAAGGATCACCCAATTCTTTCATATTGGTAATGTTAATCTGTCATGGCATGAGAGCTTAACTATTGTAATATGGAAGAATCAGGTGATCCTTAACTTCTTTTGAGTAGTATATTATTGTGTCGTGCGAATCCTTTGTACTAAGTTCGAACAATTGCTTTGTTTCAGGAATGCTGACCCAATGTTTGGCCGTTCTTGTGTGTGCCTCAATTACCATGGCGTCATCAGACACCATACGCGCCTGCCAGTACCCCGGATGTGAATGTAAAACTCGCTCAGACTCAACTTACACACTGACGTGCGAGGAAGGCACAGTCTGGACCTTGAGCGGCTACCCACACGTGGCTAACACCACCACTAGTGTTCGACTGCAGTGTGGCGGAGAGCGCGTTGACATGGAACTATTTTTTAATCATAATATTGACCTGAAGTACGTGCAGGAGATGAGCATACAGGATTGTGTGACGTCCGGGCCGTTCGTGGAGGACATTGGTCTCTCGCTGCTCACCAAGCTGGACTTAAACAATGTCACGATGTTGAACAATACACTGAGTGACCTCGTGACTTGGTGCCCCCACCTCGACACCCTGCGCGTGACCCACGCAGATCCCACCATCTTATCACATGAGTGTACATTACCTTTGGAAGCTCGACTACCTGGTTTATTGAACGATAATATCAACAAAACTGACGCCAATTGCAGTGTAATTACAACAGCGATAAATCATTTAAAAATACTCGATTTAAGACATAATGATTTAACAAATGTTCCGTTTATGGTGGGCATGTCGCCGAATGTATCTGTGTTATTTTTACAGTTCAACAAACTAGCAAGCCTTCCTTCTGACATATTTAATACTACATCAAACTTGACCATTCTTGATCTTTCGAGGAACCATTTGACGTCACTTCCGGTTCATGTGTTCTCAGAGCAAGTAATCATGAGGCATTTGAACCTGTCACATAATCGTCTATCCAGCCTCCCTTCTAGATTGTTGGCGAACACGCGGAGTCTGACAAATCTGGACCTCTCCTTCAACCGTCTCAAGTACATCCCTTCCTCCATGTTCCGCAACCTGCATCATCTGACTGTCCTAAACCTAACCGCCAACTCAATCTCCTTCCTGTTGCGCAGCCACTTCGCCAGTCTCACAAGTCTCGCGCAGCTGTATCTAGGTAACAACAACCTAAGGAGGATTCCTGACATCACTTCCTGTCACGAACTGCTAGTGGTAGACTTCCGGTATAACCAGATAATTAGCACCTATAGCACCTCCTTTAAGGGACTGAGTAAGCTAGAAGGCATCGGTATGAAACATAACAGTCTCAAATCACTGATATTCCGTCATTTGTGTGTCTCTCCAGGACTCTCTATCCTCGACTTTTCCTTCAATAACATCACCAGTCTGAACGACAACCCAGCCCTCGATTCCAAAGAACGGAATGAGAGTTCGTTCTCGATGCTTAACAAGGTTGCATTTCTCCGCCTTGATCATAATAAATTGTCACAAATCCATGGACTAGGGTCGGTGTTCACAGGCCTTAAATCTCTCTTTGTCGACAACAATATGATCATCAGCCTCCGCTTGTCACAGAAGGATCTTCCAGCATCTATTGAATGGTTCAGCGCCAGTTTCAATAAGATTGAATTGATAGAACACACCCTGTTCATGTCTTTACCTAACCTCAAAGCCATCAGCTTACAATCTAACTACCCTCATCTCACCTCTCTCCCTCTCCGTCTAGTACAAGTCGTGCCCAACAGCAGCCCCAAATTGTACCTATCGGGCAATCTGTTCATGTGTGACTGTAACCTGGCCTATCTGAAAACGTACTATCAGGGCAGAAACAGACTTGCCTTTACGAAGAATTATCCAGTATTTGCGGATCTTGAAGACGTGAAATGTATCACCGAGAAGAACTTGACTGTAAGGAATCTTATTGACATCCCAGAGGACGAGTTTATGTGTTGGAGTAGAGGTATTGTTTGTGAGAGGTACTGCACGTGCTGCTTAGGAGAAGAAAGCAAGAGTTGCCCGTGTCTTCACGTGTGTCCCAGCGGCTGCCAGTGCTATGAGGGAGGGTCCCCCTGGGGCTGGTATGAATACAAAGTCTTCTGTGACAACACCTCGATCACCATTGCCCCACACAACATACCTCCAGTGACCACGTATCTGCATCTTGAAAACAACAATATCATTGTGCTGGAGAAAAAAGACTTTTTCTATCTAATGCAACTGAAGAAACTATATTTGAACAACAACAGCATTGCGACTCTCAAGCCGGGTTGTTTCCTAGGTCTTGGTGACCTTACGTATTTACACTTGCAGTTCAACCAGCTCCGGAGTCTGTCGGCTGAGATGCTGACGGGGCTAGGGAACCTCACCCATCTATACCTTCGGAATAACCTCCTTCACACCTTAAGGTTGCACGTGTTCAGTAACCTCACGCACCTGGAGTACATTGACCTCCGTAACAATTTCCTCACTCGTCTGAGTACTGACTACTTTCCGACACACACAACCCTGACCGCCATTAAAATTACCCACAATCCTCTCTCGTGTACCTGTTCTGATATAGAACAAACTCTCTCCTTTCTGGCGCTGTATGGCTACTGTGCATCAACAATGGACGATCTGTGGTGTTTCCATGAGAACAGATCAGATCACAGTGTCTTGGTCAATTCTGATTCAACATTAACGCTGAATTATTCTCATGACAATTCCATGGTGTTGATAAAGGACTTTGACATTGATAAGTGTTATGAGATTGTGACTCATTTTAACGAAACACGGTACGACAAACAGCGAATTGAAGAGGACGGCCGATATATTATCACCTTAATAATTCTATTTGTACTACTGATGATAGTTGTAGCGGTTGCTTGCGTGACTTACTGGAAACGTCAGGAGTTGCAGGCGTTGCTTTACGTCAAGTTCGGTGTTCGCTTTCGGTCAAAGAACGCCGACCTTGATGAAACGGGACGCACGTACGACGCCTTCGTGTCTTACAGCAGCCATGACGAGCGTTTGGTAGTCAAGGAGTTGGCTCCAATGTTGGAGGAAGGGAAGGGAGAAGAACGAGGACGGCTTTATAGACTGTGTCTTCATTACCGGGACTTTCCAGTCGGAGATTGTATTGCAGACACTATCATAGAAAGCATTGAGGCCAGTAAACGCACTATCATGCTGCTCTCAGACAACTTCTTGGCAAGTGAGTGGTGCCGCTATGAGTTTCAGACCGCACACCACCATGTGCTTAAGGAACGCTCTCATCGGCTCATCATCGTGTTGTTGCATGACATTGACGACCGTAAGTTAGATCCAGACTTACGCGTGCATTTAAAGGCTGGCAACTTTTTGCGTTTCAATGACCCCTGGTTTTGGGAAAAGCTGTATTTCGCTCTGCCGGATGTACCGGTGGAAAAAGGCAACAAGGGGAGACAATTCAAGGAAGCTGATGCACCCGAAGATGGTGACGTAAATCTAAACTTTCATTTTCCCGATGGTACTGTTTTATAGCAATACACAAAAGAATGACAAGATTGGATATTGATGCTCAGCACAATTTTTTTAAATGCTTTTTTTCATTGTTTTATGTTATATATATAATAAATATTTGATTAAATTTTGTACATTTGAATAAATTTGTATGATAAACTGTGATACAATGTTATCTTTGCGACCTACTGAGCTGGTTTTGGGGGGATACGATTCTTTGCTTGATGTGTTGTCGAGTGTCTGTCTTGTAGGGATATCACACACTGCAGACACAAACTTTTAGAGACAGCGAATATCTGATCTTGTGTCTTCGACACCAGACAGTCACTAGTTGACCACAGGTCGTTTAATGCACTGCATACATGTATTTGAAATGCTTGCCGTAAAACAGTGAACTAAATGGATGTAGTTTAATCTAACTGAAATTTCACACTGAACAATTTTCATGTTCATGATGTTTGCTATGTGAAGTAGAAATATATTTAAATATTCAACCTTTTCACGTTTCAATGACCACCACTATGGCCTAATGATCTTAGTGGTACGACTCGTTTGAAACATATGGACACTTATATACAATATGTTTGTTGACATGAACGTAACGTAACTGACCCATGAAGATCCGGGGTAGAATATTTCTTCAGCAACCCATGCTTGCCGTAAAAGGCAACTGCTTGTCGTAAGAGGCGACTAACGGGATCGGGTGGTCAGGCTCGCTGACTTGGTTGATGCATGTCATCGTATCCCAAATGCGTAGATCGATGCTCATGATGCCAATCACTGGATTGTCTGGTCCAGACTCGATTATGTACAGACCGCCGTCATATGGGTGGAATATTGCTAAGTGTGGCGTTAAACAACATACAATCAATTAATGTATTTGAAGTGAGTCAAGCTGCCCTATCTGTGGAGGTTCCACAACGGTGGTATTTCGGTGTTATTACTATGTTGTCTGAAACTGTCTTCTTGTGTATATGTACAGTATAATATATCTTATCTTCATCTTCTAGAGCACCTGTCACTACCTGACCCAACAGTACCTCATTAAGAACACCAGACAATTCCTTGCTGAACCCTTTGCCCTCCCCTTCTCCCCCGACACATCTTCATCCGGCGTAGTCTGGCTTGAATTATGTTCAACTGCGACCAGTGAACAGGGACAGTGTGTGACATTTTTCTGTGCTTTTTTTAAACAGCCCCTCACATTTCACTAATAATTTTGACAGTTCTTCAAGGTAAGACATTGCAAAATTGCTCTTATGGGCAGCTTCAAAGAGACAGTGTGTGATATTTTTCTGTGCTTTTTTTTAACAGCCCCTCACATTTCACTAATAATTTTGACAGTTCTTCAAGGTAAGACAATGGAAAATTGCTCTTATGGGCAGCTTCAAAGAGTAACTGAAAGACGAGGCTGAGACTGTTGATACATCACTCACACCAAGGACAGCAAGGGTTCTCTGTGTGTCGTGAGTGTAGGAATAAGCTTAAAAAACATCTCTGTTTTTTCTAGTGTCCAGTCGCAATAAAACCCCTTCGTGGGGTATGTGGAACCAAACATGCGTCATCCGCAAATCGATTTTCAACTCCTATTGTTAAGGCTTTTTTTTCTATTGACATGGGTTATATGTACTTGAAAAAAATAAGATTAACAAAGGATTCAGAACACAAAGGTTTTTTGTTCAGCACATCTGTTGTTTGCGCCTTGAATGTATAGATAGGATATGTTCAAAGACTCCTTCTTTACATCACGGGATCCCGTGATGATTCCGGGGAGGGAATAGGTCTTCAAAAACCCATGCTTGTCGCAAAAGGCAACTATGTTTGTCGTAAGAGGCGACTAACGGGCCCGGGTGGTCAGGCTCGCTGTCTTGGTTAATGCATGTCATTGTATCCCAATTGCGTAGATCGATGCTCATGATATCAATCACTGGGTTGTCTGGTCCAGACTCAGTTATTTACAGACCCTTGTCATATAGATGGAATATTGCCAGGTGCGGCGTTAAATAACAAACACACACACAAACAAACAAACAAACAAACATCATCGGTGCCCCGTCGTCCAAGGCGCCGCAACTATCTCTTAACCTATGACCGTGGTTTCAAAGTCCTACATCGGTTGCTTTGAATAGCGTCAACGCCAGAGAATAACCAGTCTCGATTATCCGCCGAAACTGATTCCGTTGGGCGTAAGATAATATTTATATCTACGTAGATGATACTTTGATCTACGCAGAAGATACTTTCATCTACGTATGTGATATTATTATCGTACGTATCGCTACCCAGACAGTGATATTGTCTTGTGCAGTTGCGACCCTAGTTGAATACAAACATTTATATTTTTAGTAAAGGTGATTACTTATTTAGTATTAATTTAATTAGATGTTTTGGAGCATGTTGGTCGTATATTTTCATTTGGCCTTTTCTGTATTTAAACAACATACTGAGATCATTTCAACTTGTCAAACTCTCAGGGCTAAAATAAAAACACAAACTTCAGAATTGTACCTTCAGTGCTTCCAAGGATGATGACGAGTAGGTTTATAGTTTGATTTATTCTCACCCCTTCATTTTCACGTTTTACCTTAAACCTCATTTCCGTATAGGTGAAATCACGAGGAGCTTTAACCAAGTTATGGTGATATATAATTTCGCTACAATTTTGAATATTGACGTATCGCTGTTTATTTGTTTGTAGTTTGTAGAACTCCTTGTGCTCTCTTCTCTGTATTGCGGTTGTAAGAGAGTATGGCGTGTGTCCTTCCCCAGTAACTTCGGCACACTGAAATGAAGATTTACTTTACGCAATGTTTAGATAATACCTCAGTAAAGACATGTCAAGGTAGAAAGTCAAACATATCGGTCATTATTAATTAAGCCAGTGGTTACATATAACTGACCCGGAACTAGTGTCGATTACTCGAGAAAATATTGTTACCTGGACGAAAGTATTTTCTACGTAGATGTGAGCAGCATCCTCTTCGTAGATTAAAGTATCATCTACGTAAATATAAGTATCATCTACGTAGATGAAATATCATCTACGTAGATGAAGATGATATTTATTTTTAAAGTCTGTGGCACTAATACACTTCCATACGAATCAGAGATTCGAACAAAGATCAAGGCTAGCTTTCGGCACATTACATTTTAGTTCCACCAATTGGCCCCAAGGCCATCGTGCGCCGTAAGAGCTGAATTTTACTCACTATATGATGACCTATGACAAAAATCGCGAATTTGAAATATTACTCCGCAAATTGAAGTGTCCAATATCAGTGCGTTTCAGGAAATATCAGTTAATATCTGAATGTATCAAAGAGCATCTCGAGTTTCCTAAGAATGATTTCATCTGACACAGACATTTTCATCGTCTACCTACTCGTGTTACACAGTTAATTGCAGTTTCACAGGTAACCCCAGATGAATGTGGGTTCTCATTCCAGGGTCAGTGATGGCTCCAGGTGTTCGCAAAGACTATTTTAGTTGTATCATGATGTGCCAGCTTAATGTTGGAGGAAAGCTTGAAGTGATGCTCGCGCTTGACGTTTGCCACTTCGGTTAAATCCACGGGCACTGGTATAGGGCTAGCCTTGCTCCAAGGCTGCACTGAAAAAATAATCCATGGATGTGTAGTAATTCTATCCTCCTAATGGAAAGTCTAGATACGTGGTAAGGACTACAGTCTCTTATAGGGACAACTTGTTCTTAATATTTACATAATTTGGAACTTATGATTAAAACTAATAATTACTGCCTTAGAGACTTGTGCAAGTCTAGTATATGGCCGACAAATCGAGGAACATGAGCAGGGCAAATCTGGGATTCAAGCCCACGGCAAGGTCTTATGTACAGCCTGATAATGTTGGATTATTAAACAGCAACGTTATCTGGTTGTGACGCTTTGTCAATGACAATATCATTATTATAACCATAACGATACCAGGGCCCATTTGCACAAAGCGATCTTAGCGCTAAGATGATTGTAGGGTGGGTGAGTTGGGTTTAACGCCGCTTTTAACATTATTCCAGTTATATCACAGCGTGTCAGCTTAATGTGGGAGGAAAGCACGAAGTGATGCAGGTCTCAGACGTTTACCACTTCGGTGAAACCCACGAGCACGGGTATGGTGCTGACAAACTTAGAAACATAATTGGGGCGAATCGGGATTCGAACCCACAATCATAGGTTTCTGGCGTACCCAAGGGACGCAACTCTGCACAGCAAATCGCGGCGCCTTAGACGACTGGGCCACCCGTGCCCCCTAAAATGATTGTAACTCCCATACTTTAACATAGACTTACGACAGTCTTAGCGCTAAGATGCATTAACATATTAATTAAATAAACGGAAGTACGAATAAAATTTGCCCTATGTTTAACGATGTCGAAGGATAGGAAGAGCGCTTCAAGCAAAGACTGTTGTTCCACTAGGCCAGGATCTACTCGCACAGAACAATCTTCTAAGAGCTACAATTATTGTAAATCTTAAGGTCGCGATCTTAGGCATCGGCTACAATCGCCATCCACTTGCACAAAGTGATATTAATTGGGACCTTCCTTAAAACTATGCAAGGTGTAATGGAGGAAGGTACTGTTGTGTGTCGTTACCGGTTCCACTTATTGTATGCGCAGCAAGCTATGCGCGTTTGCAGATAGGTGTCGAGTTTAAGATATTCGTACCTCCACCGTTGAAGATTCCAATCTTAACTAACATTACGATCTTAAATCTAAGCCGTCTTACGATCGCGCTAAGATCGGTTTGTGCAAGTGGAATAGGACAATGGTATGGTGATCGTAAAGTTGACGGCAGGCGCCTAAGATCAATCGTAACTAAGATTGTTCTGTGCAAGTGGACTCTGGTGTTGCAATTTGTATCTTACAAAGGCGTTGTTTATTCTGACACGATTGCTAAAATCAGAATTACTTTTAAATGTCAGACCAACACATATAGAATAATAGATGAAAACTGAAAGATGGAATCTATTTTACGCTAACACATGACAAAAATCGCGAATTTGATGTGTACTCTATATGTAGAAGGTGTCCAATATCCAAGTGTTTCAAGGAATATCAATTAATATCTGACTGTATCAAGAGCATACGGAGTTTCCTAAAGATGATTTCAGCTGACACTCAAACA